CGGCCCCCCCCCTCCCCCCGCTTTGCTTTCTCCTGCCTCTCTAGTCTATCACCAATGGATTTCATGTAACTCACCTAGTCCCTTCCTTTGATTGCAATGTATAAATATATATGTAACCCGCCATTCTCCAGAGCATTATCTCAATTTGTTGAGGTTCTGCTTCCTGGCATATGTTGACAGTTTGGCTCAAACTCACAAAAATTCTTCACAGGTTTCAATTTTTTTTTACATTAACAATAGTTAAATGTATTTAATAATCCTTGTCAATATTTTATATCCTCCAAACCCAGCCACATGTGTATGTATGCCTGTGACATGTGCATGTATGTGTGCGCACACACACTAATCCTTGGCTGTTGACAATTAAGGGGACTTGTATTGTGATGATATAAGCATCAGAAGACCATAGACATCTAAAGCTACCATCCTTCCAGGCTTCCACAGATATTTTGAATCATGATGTTGCCCTGGTTTTTCATATGGCTGGAGTGTTTCCAGAGGGCATCAGCTTTGGCCTTCTGTTCTAGGGAAGGGACTCTAACATTAGACTGACAAGATTCCCTGAAGGTGGGATTAGTGTAGATCTAAAGTAGGTCACCACTGGTCAGTTCTGACAGTTCCAAGGTTGCTCATCCCTGACAGTGCCCTTGCCAAGTGCCTCCTCTCTTCCTCAGCAACGTGTCCTGAGTACTTACTGTCCTAAGGTTGTGCTGGGTCCTAGAAGGAAAAGACCAACATAGCTTGCATTCATGGAATCTAGTGGAGAAGACTGACATCTAAACAAAGGCAATGTAGAAATAAATGCATAACAGAGATAAATATACATTACCATGGGGCACCAAAAGGAGTGGTAAATTCTGTTTAGGGCAGTGATTTCCAACCCTTTTCATCTCATGGCACACATAAACGAATTACTAAAATTCTGCGGCACACCAGAAAATGTATTTTTTGCCAATGTGACAAAAAACATAGCTATAATTTTGATTTGTTCACATCATTGATTAAAAAAAACATATATTTATTGATATCAGAGTGGGAGAGAGAGATAGAAACATCAATGATGGGAGAGAATCATTGATTGGCTGCCTCCTGCATGCACCACACTGGGCATGTGCCCTGACTGGTAATCGAACCATGACCTCCTGGTTCATAGGTCGACACTCAACCACTGAGCCATGCTGACCGGGCCTGTGTTCTTTATTAATGCTATGTCATTCTTCATAGTTACTATATCTTTTCTCATGCTGTTGAGTATCTTTGTCATCATTATTCTGAACTCTGTGTCTGATAAATTTCTTATCTCCATTTCATTTATCTCTTCTTCTGGAGAATTCTCTTGTTCTTTCATTTGGGGGGTGTTTTTTGTCTCCCCATTTTGGCTGCCTGTTTGGGTTTGTGTCTATATATTAGGTAGATCTGCTAAGACTTTTAATCTCTAGTGCAGGACGATGTCAGATGCTGTTTCTGACTGGCCCTGAGTACACTGTTTGGAGCGATCAGCAAGTCACAGCTTGTGGCTCCCTCTGCTGGGGCTGGGTGTCTGGAAAGGACCAAGATGTGCATGCACTAGGGCAGTGATGGCGAACCTATGACACCTCTGACACGCGAACTCATTTTTTTGGTTGATTTTTCTTTGTTAAATGGCATTTAAATATATAAAATAAATATCAAAAATATAAGTCTTTGTTTTACTATGGTTGCAAATATCAAAAAATTTCTATATGTGACACGGCACCAGAGTTAAGTTAGGGTTTTTCAAAATGCTGACACGCCGAGCTCAAAAGGTTCGCCATCACTGCACTAGGGTCTGCTTTTCCTTGCCCCAGGCCCAGATCAGGCAGACTCTCTTATTTCTTATTTTATACTTTTATCTTTACTAGTAATTAGTTTTTAAGTTATTACTATTTTTTTCTAATTTTGTAAGCTAACTG